ATCAGACTCACTTCTGCATAGAAACCAATCAGCTTCCATGTTTCATTGCCAAAGCTTCATTGAACAAGCTGAGGTTAGAAGCTGATTGGTTTCTATCCAGAAGGGAGTCTGATTTTGCACTCTCCAGCTTTAGTAAATAAACCCCTAAGAATGACCCAAGTTTGTCCAGTAGTGAATCTACCCTCTTGGTCCACCTTGTTCAAAGCTTGCAAGCTCACACGTCCCAGAAATAGAGAGTAAGGGTTTAGTGTCAGTGAAAAGGACTGGTGTTCTACTTGCACCTACCACAGCCTCTAAATAGGCTGTTTGAAGCAAGAAAATTGAGAACCATATCACCAAGGTTTGTTTTGGCTTCAGAAAGAAACACCTGAAGGATCATAAGGAACTGTAAAAATATGCTTTGACTCCACAAAACTCTGTGCTAAAAACTACAATGCTACTATTAAGTGCATAGAATGCAACAGTGATGATCATTTACAGACGCTTCATCCAGTTCAACACAGTTCCACTCATCCATAGGGATGACACTCCCATGGCAGCGCAAAGCAGAAAGAGTACATATCAAACAGCACTTCCTATACCAGCATGCTCCAAATGTGCTGAAAATTGCAAAATCTTGTACCAAAATATGCATGGTTCAACAGTCATAAGACTATACTATTCTAGATGATCACAGTAAACAATCCCCCTCAAGATTAACATTTTATGACCTTTAATGCAAAACAAGAAATGCCCTACTTACACTTTGGGCACCTTTACTGGAACTATGGAATTCTCTATTAGGAGAGCAGGTGGTCATGTATCTCCTTTGAATGGCAGGTTAGAAATACCATTGCCCATTCTCATTGAGTATAACCTAATTCTGAACAACAGGGAGGAGATCCCTACTCCTGCATCTGGCTCTCATCACTCTCACTTGGGAGCTGTAGCTGACCACATACTTAGCAGAGATGTATTAAGATTTACAAGAATCATCAACAAATCAAAAACCTCATGATGCACTATATGTCCAATTCCTGGGTCAGTATAGGTAATGTCTGTCTGTGTAAAATCAGAAGATCTACAGTGGTTTCTTTCTTCAAGACACACATCCTGTCCAATGGATGCGATAGTTGTTTCAAACAATGTCCATATCACTGCAGTGTGAAGGAAAGACTATGTAGCAAAGGTATACAACATTGCATTATACAAGACAATAACAAAACACTTATGTTCGGGGCCTGTAGGTTTCTGGATCACTGGGATCAAAAAGATGAACATCCTCCAATCTCCACAAATGTGTGTAATATAAAAAATTGAGTGTAATACACCAACAACAATGGATGTCAAATCTTCCGGTCAACAGATTGACCAAGTTACCCTTTTCTATATTAGTGTGGGTGTTTTGGGCCCCTACTCTGTACATGCAGGGCTCGAGTCGCTTATAATAAACATTGGGTTATGCTGCTCATTTGCACAAGCATTTGTATACTGCACATAGAAGTGATAGAGTCAGTGGTCTCTTCTTGCTTCATTAATGCCTTCTGAAGATTTGTCTCTGTACAAGGAACTATAAAGTTACTGATACCTGACTACAGGACTAAATTTACAGGAGCAGAAATGGTGGACATTTTTTTTGAATAGTAAGTATAAATGGAAATCAAACCAACCTCATCCCTAACATATGGGAGGTTCTTGGAAACACATGATTGGGATTGCAAGAGAAATCTTTGGATTATATACTGCTTGACCTCAAATCTTCCGAGTTCATCCAAGAAATCTTAGTCAACGTTCATGCAAAGGTGCTAGACCACTGGTTTAGTGTCCATGAATCAAGGGTCTCCAGAGCTGCTCACTCCAGCCACTCTCCTCTCCAAGAAAATTGGGATACCTTGTCAGGGTTCTGTCCACGGCGGAGGTCCTGGAAGACCGGGCATTTCCGCCAGTACCCTGCATGGCTGCAGAAATACACACATCAGGCCCAGTTTTGGCACCAAACGGCCTTTATAAGGAGGCTCTTCACTCCCTCAAGTTGCTGGATGATCTCTAGCTGCCCGTACCTTGTTCCTGTTTCCTATGTTATTGGGACCTGCGACTTCCTGATACCGACTTGGCTTGCTCTTGGAGCTGTCTACTCTGCTTAACCCCTGATCTGACCTTGGCTTGGCTAATGGAAACTCTCTCTCTAGCTCCTCTGTGTTTGACCTCGGCTATTCCATCTGACTACGTCTGCTCTGATTCCCACCTGGTACCTCACCTTGGCTTGAACCGGCTATCCAGTAATCCTCTATTCCTGGAAGGTCTTGAATACCTTGCACAGGCACCATCTGTCTGCAGACCTCATCTCTGTGCATCAGCTGTGCTCCTGGGTGGACCACCAATAAGCTCTCCTACAGGCGACCTGCGCCACTTTGGGCCTGACTCCCGCTGTCCCACTCTCAGGGGAGTCTGGAACTTAGCCGCAAGGGAAGCCCTCTCCATTTGCTTCCATCACCAGGTACCTGATATACCTGCTACTTCTCCTGAAGAAATTATCTGCCTCAATGCTCATAAACAACAAAAAAATCGGGCTCAACACCAATGTGTTCTAGGGTAATTAGAAGAAGTAGCACCTTTGCAACTAACAAGGTTGTAACAAATGGAGAACTACCAAACTTAACCTACAAGTGTGTGACATAATTCTTCTGAGATTAATTAAAGAAGATTCAGTGCAACTCTACTTCAGACCCAAAAAATTTAATTGTGCTTCTTTTATCCAAACAAGAGGATGAGCCTTCAAAATCAGTGATCTGGTTCAGGCCATAATCTGGAATTTTCATCTTTGGCATGGCCCTAACAGTCTTCCATCTTTTACCAGATAATGTTCCTTAAATGGCAGGTAAGAAGGACATATGCATGCTGCTGCCTTCCCTTTTAAAAGGAGGTCATTAACACCAAGTCTTCTATTTCTTCCACAGTCAACAGTTTCAAAGAAATTACAATTGTTAATGTATCTCTACCTTCCTCAATATTTCAATTTTCTTTTCTTTTGTTAGCTCTGCCATTCCATTTCCATTCACATGCATTTTGCTAGAGTGGATCACATTAGGATCTTTTGACATGTCTAGGAATTCAATTAATTGAGGGAAATTTATCGAAATTGGAGCAGCCAGAATCTGGTGCAGGTGTGCATGACAACCAATCAGCTTCTTTCTTTGATTTTAAAGGAGACGTACAGTCAAAGCTTTTTTGGCTGTACTACCACTGTCGGCTAATGTCACTCAGCTGAGTTAGGATCCACCTCAGAGCCTGGAATGGCACCTGGCTCAGCCTCTCAGTGAAGTTCTGAGAGCCTGATCAAGCCCCCCCCTCCAGAGCCCAGTGCTCCATTGAGCAATGGGGAGGCTGAGCAGACAGCGGTGACTGACAGTCCCACTCTCTGCTCAGAGCAGAGAGGAGAACTCAAGAATATATAGGAAAAAAAAGCCCTATTTCTCTTTTAACTGTACAAGTTGAAGATAGAAGCTGATTGGCTCTCATGCAGATTGGCTTCAGGTTCTGTCTTCTCTCGTTTTGATAAATTCCACCCTGTTGTCAAGATCTGCACAGTATTTAATTAAACTTCTCAATGGCCTTCAAGTTGTCATTATGATCAAGACAACTGTCTGCCAACACTGCTTTGATTGTACGTTTTCTCCCTACAACTTCATAGATTACAGAGATCACACTTTCAATGCTTAGACTAGGAAGGCAGTACAGTGCCCACCATACTCAGGTAACACTGAAGGCTCAAAGTAACTGGAATGGAGTGTACAAGTACATAATACAAGAACAAAGAAAGAATTCATAATTATCCTCTGTATGCCATCTGCATCACTTGTATTTTAGAAAGGAAATGTCTAGAATATTGCTACAGCTTGTTATATATTCAGAAGACTTGTCACAATACACAGCTGCTATCCAAACCAAATGCTGATGGAAAATGTTTAAAAGGCTGCTAAGCCAAACAATGCAGATAGCCCTCTGGTGTCCACAAAAGGTTGATTGATAAATTGTGTTATTAGTGGAACTTTACATTATTGTTAACACATACCTTTTTTTTGTAGAATTTCCTTTTTATGGCCATTGCGAGCTTTGCACTCTGTTACGCTGCTAGCAACAGTAGTAAGGATCCAGTAATAAAGAAATTATAATCACAATATAATTTGTACTGTGTTCCTTTTTACTGATGTAATAAGGCTTAAAAGGGCTGGACATACTATACAATCTCATACAATCATAAAAATATTGACCATTTTAGTATAACGATTTTTTTTTTTTTATAATTATAGTTTAACTTCTCTGTCTTCCAGTATTGCAGCCTCTGGCAAAGTCTTCTACATTTAACACTACCAGTAATGTCAAATGCCTGCACCCCCTGTCATGTGCTGTGTTTCATCCCACTGGTCCCTACATCACAGCTGAACCCTCTAGTGTCATAGGGTTTGGAGAAAGGAGTCACGGACATTAGACACTCCTGGAAGGCTGCAGCACTAGTAGACAGAGGAGTTAATAAATCCTGCACACCAGTGAGGTAGGTATTCAGAGTCTTCTATTGCAGGGACCTGGTGTCTAGATTTTACATGGAACAAAGCATGTCTTGGCACTATTTCACATAAAATAATGTGTGCTGTAACTTTGATAAAGGATTAAAACTTCCAGCTTATATGAATATGATACTGTTTATCCCTTACACATAAAAAGTTTTCCTTGTAGAAAAAAAATATTGCACAGATATTGGTGGACATTTATAAAATTTACCCAGGTAGACATCTTGATGAAAAAACAGATAGTTGAGTACTATAAATAATACAAACTTCAGAAAAGAAATTTGATTTGGAAAGGTTTATATCTACCAGAGATATTGGCCTTGTTTAGCTTGTATGAGTTTAACCTCTTCCCAAAAGCTGCTCACAAAATCAAACTCATAAATTTTAATCAGTTAAGAAAATATACTTGCTTTGTTTTGGAAAATAAATAATTTTCCTTTTTTTTTGCTTTAGGTGTCACAGAATGTGCCCTGCAATTTCCATCTCCTTACTGGTATTGGGACACAGTAATGAAAATTTGTGTTTTCATCTTTGCATTCGTCATTCCTGTATTTATTATAACAATTTGCTACACTTTAATGATCCTACGACTGAAAAGTGTGCGTCTCCTATCTGGATCTCGTGAAAAAGACAGAAATCTCCGACGCATAACAAGATTGGTGCTTGTTGTTGTTGCAGTGTTTATTATATGCTGGACTCCCATTCATATTTTTGTGCTCGTTGAGACCCTTGTGGATGTCCCACAAGGCATAGCAGTAAGCTCAATCTACTATTTTTGCATTGCATTGGGTTATACTAATAGCAGTTTAAATCCAATCTTGTATGCATTCTTGGATGAAAATTTTAAAAGGTGTTTCAAAGACTTCTGCTTTCCATCAAAACTTCGCTTGGATCGCCAAGGAAACAGTAAAGTTGGAAACACAGTACATGATCCGGCTTACAGAAGGGAAGGTGACCGAACTAACAAGCCAGTATGACTAGCAGTGGAAATGACTTCTTATACACCACAAGGAAGTGGTACCACTCATGAACTAGGATTAACACAGATAACATCTGCAGTGTAACCAACTGTAGTAATATTTTCAGTCACAGATTTTATTGAACTGATGTTAGATATGTCATGGATACATAGTCTTAGGCACTTCAGTGCACCAAAGGTCAATTGAACTTGGACACACAACCATGCATGACTAATCTGGGCCTGAGTGCACATGTTAAGATGTCATTATCACCCACAGAGTGGGTAAATCAAACTTTATTGTCTCATCAGCAAAAAAATCATAAGTGAAAAATCCACATAGAGTTATTTACAGATCTTTCAATATTTTGCTCTGTAGCAGGACTAGCAGAGTAGAGCTAGAAGTTTTGAATGTGAAAGTGCTGCATATTTTAAATGAATTGGGGCTTAAAGCAAGTTTGCTATTAACTGAGAGGCCCCAGACCAGCAGCATGCAGCAAAGAGGATACTGAATACTTAACTATCCAGGGGGTGGTGACACCAGTTTTTGTATTGTTACAGGGCTACAGCTACTACTGTATCCAACACTTCTGGTTGTGCTGGCTAGCATGACTACCTTTGCATATTGTGGTTCCTCCTGCTAACTCCTATGTCACTAGAGGACACAGTCAGTAGGGGTAATTTAAAGGACACAAAGCATGGATCCAAAAGCATGCAAAGAGGGGCAATCTATCTGACATAGCTAGAAGTTTTGGATAGAGCTAGTGGTCATAGTTCTGAGTGAAGCTTTAGCACACTGTCCACCAGAAAGGTAACTGTTCCTTTTCTTCTTACAGGGTGCTGCTGGTTTCAGTTCCTTCAGATAGTCACTTTAAGGTACCACAGTTCATCTACCTATAGGTTCCAGTGGTGCAAATAGGGTCCTGATAAAGCCTAATGTAATATAAAAGTACAGTACAAATATGTAAAATACATTTCAGATGAAATATATTCATACAGTATAACATAGAATAAACATTGAAAATAAACAAACATTCCTTAATGTTAAATCAATATATAGGTAATTTGATGTACTTTTTATAACTATTGTAAATGCTATGAACTAACACGTGGTCTTGAAGTGTTATCAGATTTCTGTTTTCACTCCTAATTTGTTGCTGTATACAGTTCTCAGTGCTTTGGCGTGCAGCTCAGTTATACTTGATCTTGTCCAATGTTTGATATGTTCAAATATAAATAAATAAAGTCTATATAAAAATAAAGTGTTTATATGGCATGCGGGTATGCATATATATACACTATATTGCCAAAATTATTAGGACGCCTGTCTGTATACACATACATGAACTTTACTGGCATCCCAGTCTTAGTCCATAGGGTTCAATATTGAGTTGGCCCACCCTTTGTAGCTATAACAGCTTCAAATCTTCTGGGAAGGCTGTCCACAAGGTTAGGAGTGTCTATGGGAATGTTTGACTGTTTTTCCAGGAGTCCATTTGTGAGGTCAGGCACTAATGTCGGACGAGAAGGCCTGGCTCGCAGTCTTCAGCCCAAAGGTGCTCTATCGAGTTGAGGTCAGGACTCTGTGCAGGCCAGTCAAGTTCCTCCACCCCAAACTCGCTCATCCATGCCTTTATGGACCTTACTTTGTGCACTAGTGCACAGTCATGTTGAAACAGGAAGGGGCCATCCCCAAACTGTTCCCACAAAGTTGAAATTGTCCAAAGTGTCCTGGTATGCGGATGCCTTAAGAGTTGCCTTCAGTGGAACTAGGGGGCCAAGCCAAACCCCTGAAAAGCAACCCCACACCATAATCCCCCCCTCAACCAGACTTTACACTTGGCAAAATTCAGTCAGGCAAGCAGTGTTCTCCTGGCAAACCCAGAAATGTCCATCGGATTGCCAGACAGAGACACATAATTCATCACTACAGAGAACATGTCTCCACTATTTTAGAGTCCAGTGATGATGTGCTTTACACCACTGCATCCCACGCTTTGCATTGCACTTGGTGATGTAAGGTTTCGATGCAGCTGCTCAGCCATGGAAACCCATTCCATGAAGCTCCCTATGTTGTGCTAATCTGAAAGCCACATGAAGTTTGGAGGTCTTTAGCTATTGACTCTGCAGACAGTTGGCAACTTCTGTGCTCACTGTGCACTTCAGCATGTGCTTACCCCGCTCTTTCATTTTATGTGGCTGAGTTGCTGTTGTTCCCAGTTGCTTTCATTTTGTTATAACACCACTAACAGTTGAATATTAGTAGCAAGGAAATTTCACAGAAGGACTTATTGCACAGGTGGCAATCTATCACGGTACCACACTTGAACTCACTGAGCTCCTGAGAGCGACCCATTCTTTCACAAATGTTTGTAGAAGCAGTCTGAATGCCTAGGTGCTTGATTTTATATACCTGTGGCCATTGAGGTGATTGGAACACCTGAATCCAATGATTTGGAGGGGTGTCCCAATACTTTTGGCGATATAGTGTATTTATAGGAATATAATAAGTGTTATAACTATAAGAACATCGTAAAATTATTTTAGCAAACTTTACCTACTTTTTAAAGGGAAATCAAAATGTTTCTGTCAATTCTACTTCTTTTCAGGTTTGCAAGTTTATAAACTGTTTTTTTACATTATTATTTTTATACCCTTTTACAAATGTTTATTTTACAAATTCACATTTAATACATAGTGCTTTCATGACACAGAAGTTTCTGCTCAATTTCAGGCTGTGCTTAAATAAAAACTCGTAGGGAGCCAAAGATCAAGGAGTTGGAGTGCAGATTGTCCCTTCTTCAAGGCTCTATTTACACTTCATGATTCGGAATCGTGGGCAGAATCACGTGGCGATCACTGTAAAACACAGTTAGTTTTGAACATTACAAACAAAAACATGTATAAAAACTATTGTGTATTTATAAAGCAGTGAATGTAACATACGCCAAATCTTCACTGCAGGCATATGTTCTTGGTGAATGCTTTTTAAATTTCACTAATTGATACACCTACAGTAAAGGTTTAGTGAATGTCAAAATTCTTCCTTAATAAATATGCCCCTTTAGGGTTTATTTATAAACCAGTGAATGTTACTTCTACCAATATTTTCTGGTGTTAAATCAATCACTCTCTTTAAAACATTTGCAGCTGGAAGATTTGCCTGCAGTGAATGTGTTATACCACAGTAATTGCAGATTTTAGCAAAGCTGTGTAGAAAAATACAATTCACTGAGATTTATAAAATGTGTGCTCCTTAGAGCAGTACACTAATGCTCAGGCACACATTTTTTTTTAAAGAACTACAGATTATCCCAATTCAGTTATCATTAGGAATGGAAGAATGTGCCTGGGTTTAATTCACAAAGGATTTGTGGAATCCATAGTGAAGGTCAAAAAAATCCAAACTTAAAATCAAATCCTGCTGAAGTCTATGGGGGAGGAACAAACCTTGATAATCAATTTTGACCAATTTCAAGGCTAACAGGTAAGAGATTATCAAAAAAGCCATGGGGAGCTAAACAATGCCATGGTGGCATTTAATAAAGCAAAAATATTTTTTAAATACCTTACAACAGGGAGAAGGTCTTCTTTTAATTGGCATCCATTCAATTATATGCCTGGGAGATGCTGTATGCATTATAATGAAATAATACAATTTTCACAGATGGTATCAGCTACAACATTCTAGCATCACATATTTTGGATGTGTAATTGATTTTTTTTTAACTTTTACTGTTTTAACTTTACAACCTATCTAGGCTTAGAAACAACAGTAGCACCCCAATCTGATTCATTAAAACCTTAAAAAATGGATTTTAGGTAGATTTGACTGCAACATCTGATTTTTTTATCCAATGGTAATAATCCTAAAATGTATGGTTAAAATAACAGCCACAACAGATCTAAAAGTTGTTGGAAAGATTATAGTTAAACAGCGAAAGCTCTGAGCTTTTTACAAATTGGCCAGGGGTACAACCGTTCAGTAGTATAAATTGTGAGTTGTTTTTTTTTTTTCTTTTGTAGTACCACACTGCATTGTCTCAAACATTTGATAAACTGCCAAAGCAGAGAACATAAAAAAAAACACATCCACACATTTCCCATCCTCGTGCCTTCAAATATTTAAAATATAGACTTCTGGTATTTTTTTTAGTAGTAATTGGCCAGCATCAGGACTGTATTTGAGCACTTGAATAGGCAGAAAATAGAAAGAGCCATTCCCCTAAAAAACAATTATCATATATAAAACTGCTCCTAAATCTTAGATAACTCAAAGTGACATGTGCTCAGTGTACTAAGTGTTATGATTATACAGTATATATATCACACAATAAAATTGGCAAAATTAACTACAAAATTTCATGCCAGTGGATCACATCACAAACAAATACATGCGATCCAAACAGTGCTCCAGAGTTCCACAGTAATGATCAGGGGCGGACTGACAACTCATGGGGCCCCCGGGCAATAAGGGATCATGGGGCCCGTGTGTCCTTGCCCAAACTCAAAAAAGCCTATGAAAAAGGTACCAGGGGCATCTCATGGGGCCCCCTACTGACCCCGGGCCCTTGGGCAGTGCCTGAGTTTCCAAATGGTCTGTTCGCCCCTGGTAATGATGTACCATTTGGTTCCACCCTTCACATGTGTACAGTGATCCAAAGTGCCCCCACAGGTAGTAAACACTCACCAGCTGCAGCTGGCCTCTCATAAATATAAGCTAGTCAAAATGGGTCTTTTATGCCCAGATTAATCTTGTCAGTATCCATCTCTGCAGGGACATCTCGAACTGTATTTACTTTAACCTTATCCATATACTTAGGCAGAGGGACAGGAATGCAAACAAGGTATCATTGTGCAACACATTTATTAAAATATAGTGTTAAAAGGTACAATTTACACTCCCCTTTAAAAGTGCCTCATCTGGCACAGGTATGACCTGTCAAACTATTGTTATGAAATGCTTCTGCTCCCTTGGGTACATAGAAGATTTGTTCCTTGTGTAGAATGGTACTGAAA